TAGAACATGTAAAGAGATTCTGTCATCATTTACTCACCATTTCAGTCAGTTCAATCCTAGATGAGGGTTTTTTTCACTGCGCAACATAAAAATAAAATATTTAGTTCTTTTTTGCTTTGCGCAGAAGAAAGCAAGCCACAGAGTTAAGAACAAAAATGCAAACTGATTATGTTTTTTTTGTGTATTCTGTGTTCTGGGGACTACCATTCAACAACTTGGGTTTAGTAAGATTTGTGGAAGAAACGAAACTGCTCACCAAACCTGCAATTTTGGATTGAAAATACCTTTGGACCTGCAATGGATTGAAAATACACTACAAACAGTCATATTTCAATAACTATTATAATTGAAAAATAAAGACTAGTCATGACTGTTAGAGACTAGTGATAACTATTAGACACTTGTGATCTCTGTTAGAGACTAGTGATGTCTGTGAGACCAGTGATGACTGTAAAGGCTGATTTATACTTCTGCGTCAAACGCCGGCGTATGCTGCGGCGCTGATGCATAGCCCTTCGTCGTGGCCGTCGGCGTCGCTGATGTGCACCTCTCAAAAAATGTAACTACACGTCGCAACCACGCGTAGCGCAAGCTCTGTGATTGGTCGGCTTGATAGCGCTGACGAGTCTGGGCGGGACAGAGAGTCGCGCGAGCGGCGCTAGCCCAATGGAGCGATTGTTTACAAGTGTGGAGTCCCGTGAAGGAGCTCCGGATGGAAAGTTTTGTTTTGTGTTTACTTCATAGTTAAAGTTGTTGCACGTTAATATTATTTTCATTACTTGATATATGACTTAATAGTATTAGTTACCACTGATTCTTTTAAGTGTAATATCTTATATAATAGTTTGTGTATTTATGTATTGTGGCTGTTTCCTTCTATAGATTGGTTGGATTTATGTGACTTATTTCACTTATTTAATTTATTTATTCTGTCTTGTGTTTTTGTGTTTCTGTGTTTGTGTGTTATAGCAGTCATTACGTAAGCAATTTCCTGCGGGATCAATAAAGTTTTCTAAGTCTAAGTCTAAGTCTTAGTCTAAAGTTTTGTTTTGTGTTTACTTCATAGTTAAAGTTGTTGCACGTCCGCCGGTTCCTGCCTCGAAATGAGCGAGTTTGAGCCATTTGTACATCCCGGAAGTGTTCAGGAAAAGCAAAACAGCAGCGAAGAAACTCGACACAGAGGAACATTTACACCTCACTGCCAACTATCGTTTCGGAAGTGTTAATGCAGACCAACAGAGACAGCGCGCAGAAGTATAAATGCACAGCTACGGGCGTTGCATGCACCTAGGGTTACGCCGGTCACTTGACGCAGAAGTATAAACCAGTGACCAGTCTTTCATGGAATGGAAGACTAGTGATGACTGTTAGAGACTAGTGATGACCGTAAGACTAGTGATGACTGTTAGAGACTATTGATGACTGTGAGACTAGTGATGACTGTTAGAGACTATTGATGACTATAAGACTAGTGATGACTGTTAGAGACTATTGATGACTATAAGACTAGTGATGACTGTTAGAGACTAGTGATGACTGTTAGAGACTAGTGATGTCTGTGAGACTAGTGATGACTGTTAGAGACTAGTGATGACTGTTAGAGACTATTGATGACTACAAGACTAGTGATGACTGTTAGAGACTTGATGACTATAAGACTAGTGATGACTGTTAGAGACTATTGATGACTATAAGACTAGTGATGACTGTTAGAGACTATCGATGACTAAGACTAGTGATGACTGTTAGAGACTATTGATGACTATAAGACTAGTGATGACTGTTAGAGACTAGTGATGTCTGTTAGAGACTATTGATGACTACAAGACTAGTGATGACTGTTAGAGACTTGATGACTATAAGACTAGTGATGACTGTTAGAGACTTGATGACTATAAGACTAGTGATGACTGTTAGAGACTATTGATGACTATAAGACTAGTGATGACTGTTAGAGACTTGATGACTATAAGACTAGTGATGACTGTTAGAGACTATTGATGACTGTTAGAGACTATTGATGACTGTGAGACTAGTGATGAGTGATGACTGTTAGAGACTATTGATGACTGTTAGAGACTATTGATGACTGTGAGACTAGTGATGAGTGATGACTGTTAGAGACTATTGATGACTATAAGACTAGTGATGACTGTTAGAGACTATTGATGACTACAAGACTAGTGATGACTGTTAGAGACTTGATGACTATAAGACTAGTGATGACTGTTAGAGACTTGATGACTATAAGACGTGATGACTGTTAGAGACTATTGATGACTATAAGACTAGTGATGACTGTTAGAGACTATTGATGACTATAAGACTAGTGATGACTGTTAGAGACTATTGATGACTGTTAGAGACTATTGATGACTGTGAGACTAGTGATGAGTGATGACTGTTAGAGACTATTGATGACTATAAGACTAGTGATGACTGTTAGAGACTATTGATGACTACAAGACTAGTGATGACTGTTAGAGACTTGATGACTATAAGACTAGTGATGACTGTTAGAGACTATTGATGACTATAAGACTAGTGATGACTGTTAGAGACTATTGATGACTATAAGACTAGTGATGACTGTTAGAGACTATTGATGACTGTTAGAGACTATTGATGACTGTGAGACTAGTGATGAGTGATGACTGTTAGAGACTATTGATGACTACAAGACTAATGATGACTGTTAGAGACTTGATGACTATAAGACTAGTGATGACTGTTAGAGACTATTGATGACTATAAGACTAGTGATGACTGTTAGAGACTTTTGATGACTGTGAGACTAGTGATGAGTGATGACTGTTAGAGACTATTAATGACTATAAGACTAGTGATGATTTTTAGAGACTTGATGACTATAAGACTAGTGATGACTGTTAGAGACTATTGATGACTATAAGACTAGTGATGACTATAAGACTAGTGATGACTGTTAGAGACTATTGATGACTGTTAGAGACTAGTGATGACTGTGAGACTAGTGATGACTGTTAAAGACTGTTGATGACTGTTAGAGACTAGTGATGACTGTTAGACTATTGATGACTGAGACTAGTGATGACTGTTAGAGACTAGTAATGACTGTTAGAGACTAGTGATGACTGTTAGAGACTTGTGATGACTGTTAGAGACTAGTGATGGCTGTTAGAGACTAGTGATGACTGTTAGTGAGTGATGACTGTTAGAGACTATTGATGACTGTTAGAGACTATTGATGACTATAAGACTAGTGATGACTGTGAGACTAGTGATGACTGTTAGAGACTTGTGATGACTGTTAAAGACTGTTGATGACTGTTAGAGACTAGTGATGACTGTTAGACTATTGATGACTGAGACTAGTGATGACTGTTAGAGACTAGTAATGACTGTTAGAGACTAGTGATGACTGTTAGAGACTTGTGATGACTGTTAGAGACTAGTGATGGCTGTTAGAGACTAGTGATGACTGTTAGAGAGTGATGACTGTTAGAGACTATTGATGACTGTTAGACTATTGATGACTGAGACTAGTGATGACTGTTAGAGACTAGTAATGACTGTTAGAGACTAGTGATGACTGTTAGACTATTGATGACTGAGACTAGTGATGACTGTTAGAGACTAGTAATGACTGTTAGAGACTAGTGATGACTGTTAGAGACTAGTGATGACTGTTAGAGACTAGTGATGGCTGTTAGAGACTAGTGATGACTGTTAGAGAGTGATGACTGTTAGAGACTATTGATGACTGTTATCAGTGATGAGTGTGAAAGATTTTATAGTGATGACTGTTAGGGAGTAGTTATGACTAGTTGACTAGTTCTTTGAAAAATAAAGTTTTTTATTATTATTATTACTGAAGTGCCTTGGTTATTTTGTTCTACTGGCATTGCCAAAATTTCCTTCTAATTTTGAACAAAGAGATTTCATATCTCCAATAAAATTTAGCATGTTTTCCCTGCGTTCGTGTGGGTTTCCTCTGTGCTCTGGTTTCCCCCACAGTCCAAAGACATGTGGTAGAGCTGAATTGGGTAAACTAATATTGTCCATAGTGTATGAGTGTAAATGAGTGTGTGTGGATGTTTCCCAGAGATGGGTTGCGGCTGGAAGGGCATCCGCTGCGTCAAACAAGCTGAATAAGTTGGAGGTTTATTCCGCTGTGGCGACCCCGGATCAATAAAGTGACTAAGCTGAAAAGAAAATGATTGAATAAATAAATTTAAAAATATATAAAATATTTATCACTATATACAGTTGAAGTCAAAATGAGTAGCCCCCCTGTTTATTTTTTTTCCCTAATTTGTTGTACAGAGAGATTTTTGTCAACACATTTTCAAACATAATAGTTTAAATAACTAATTTCTAATAACTGATTTATTTTATCTTTGCTGTGATGACTAAATAATATTTGACTAGATATTTTTCAAGACACTTCTAAACAGCTTAAAATGCTTTAAAGGCTTAACAAGGTTAATTAGGTTAACTAGGCAGGTTAGGGTAATTAGGCAAGTTATTGTATAAAGATGGTTTGTTCTGTAGACTATCAAAAAAAAATAACATCTTAAAGAAGCTAATAATATTGATCTTAAAATGTTTACTAAAAAATTAAAAACTGCTTTTATTCTAGCCAAAATAAAACAAATAAGAATTTCTCCAAAACAAAAATATATAATTAGACATATTGTGAAAATGTATTTGCTCTGTTAAACATAACTTATATATATATATATATATAAACAAATAAAAGAGAGCCTAATAATTAATTCTGACTTCAACTGTATTTATGCTAATTTTGATCAATTTATTTAGTACTATTACAATTTTCAATCGCTGGTATTGGGCTGAAATTATTTTTACTTGCCTAACCACAAGCAAATTAATGACTGGAGAACTTGATCTGAACATTCCTAACTGTAATAGATAAAGACATTAAACCTCAAGGAAATTTCTTTAAGATTTCAATGTATAGATGTTCATGAATAAAACAGACCACACTGACCAAATCAGTACGAAGTATAGAACCAAGTGTATTTTTCCCTCTGTCAATGTACACATATTTAGATTTCATCTCACAGTAACACTTTACAATTACATTAAGAACGGGAATATACTTTGACCAGCATAGGTAAATGACAATTATATCTTAAAAGAACAAACAAAACAAAAACACAAACGAAAAAAAGCCCTGTCGATGATATAACAAAAGAACTCAAATATAAAATGGAGGTATGGCTAGGTGTTACGCTTCATTCTTTTTTTTTTATACCAAATTCAATAAAATCCCAAAACATCCCTCCCCCCACCCCCAGAATTTCACCTTTGAAAATCACTTCGTGGAACTGAAGTAATATATCTGTAGTGAATAACATTTTTTTTTTTCAATTGAAGAGAAAGGACTAAACAAAATCTTTTTTGTAATAACAAGGAATGTCAATTCAGGAAAACCATATTTTTCAAATGTGAGAAATATCTAGACAGTATACTGTGTTGTTGATTTTTTTTCTTCCTTTTTCCTCCTTTCCAGGAGGTGTCCTTTGATACAAAAGTCCGGACACAAGGTTTGTGCTGCTTTATCCATTAAAGTCTTGTCAGTTTGCTCTCATACGCTTTCCTTTAAGGTTTGGGAGGTGGTGAGCTGGCATCCTGATGAGAACGAGTTCCTTTTTTGTCCGCCCAAAAGAGACGCCACACAGTTCTCAAAATATGATTTCGCCTCCGTTCTCCTTATCCTGTTTGTTTCACTGTCTGCAGTCTCATTTGGATGGGTATTGGGCTGTAGTTTCACACCATAGAGAATATAGGAGGCAAGAGAAAGAGTTCATGTAGTCTTGCGTATATCTTTCTCATGCCGGAGGACAAACGAGGACAAACACTCACACACACACGCACAATCGCACGCGCACATACGTACCGTCTGCACGATACACACAAACCTGTCTCCTGAAGAGTCTTCAGCAATGTCCTGTATTTACATAGATACAACATCTTTTGTCCAAGCTGATGCTCAGTTCAGGACAGTCCCGCTTTCTGAGGTCTGCGTCGTGCTTGTCCATGGTGCTATGTATCCTTCCGGGTGAGATGAAAGTTATCAACTTTATGTATTTCATATCAAAAACCTCTCATGAAAAGTTGAATGTGAATACATCATGCATGGAACACAATTAGTAGCCTAACAGATCACAATGTTTCGGCACCATGAAGAGAGAGAGAGCGAAAGATAGAGATACCTTTTTAAAGTTCTAACAACCTTCTGAATACTGGTGGAGGTGTGGATGTTAAAGCACCCTTCGCTGTCTGATCTGCGATTCTAACGTGTTTATGAAACCATGGCAGCAACACAACAAAGAAAGAATTAGATTCATGTGTTTTCATGACAGGGACAGATAAATCCCACTTTCTACACCTGACAAAAGAAATATCCGAGTGGAAATGAAGTCAGTTATTTCGGCTCTATCACCGAACAAAACAGAAGATGCGATTTTATCCTCTGCCTTTCTCACTGTATTTTTTTTCTCTCCCTCCAAAAAAGGTGTCAGATTTAACATCTCCACAAGAACTGATGGGAGCATCTGCTTGTCTTGTGCAAATAACAAACACAATTGCTTCTGTTGTTCATGAATTATTACAAGGAGGGCCAGCGAATGTCTGCTACGAGATCTCAATTTCATAGCTCTATAAACATAATATTAACTGAACGTTCAAGAATAGTACTAAAAGCTCATGTTTGGCGGGTTTTCTCTCTCTCTGTCCATGGTGTTTCGTTTCTCTCCTGTGGACCACGCGAAACATAAATCTTTAATCGTAAAGAGGGCATTACATCACCTGGAATGTAATGGAAGATTTTCTTTAGACATGATAAGAGATAAAATTACATACAACGATGGCTTCGCAAGACAGCAACGAAAGGAGGATCTATCCGTCAAGTCTATCCGTCCGTGTCTTTCGGTGGCAGAAAAAACGTTTGGAGAAGTAAACAGAAGATCGTGTGGCTTAAATGTTTAGAGGAGGTCAAATCCTCATCAGTACCTTCTCCTCTGTCTTTCTCAGACGTAATACTCCTTGTCTTTGTTCTTCTTGCCCTTGGTGGTGGTTTTAGCCACGGCGGCAGTCGTACTCGGCGTTTTCTCCTTCACTACGGCACCGTTGCTTTCAGAGCCGGAGTTGCGGCTTTGATCCACCTGATAAGAGCCTTCGTCTCGATTGCGGTATTTATACATGGCGTATAGGAGGATGAGGATGCAGAGGGCGGCAGCCGCCACGATGCCAACCACCATGCCTGTGGTGCTGCTGGACTCTCGAATCACCTCCACGGCACCTGGACGGCCCTTCTCCATCAGGTCGGTGGGATGAGCTGTGGGCACATGGGGGAAATCAGGCGGGTAGGTTAGACCTGGAGTGTGGCGCGAGGACGGGACGGGTGGCAGGAGCACCTGGTCGCGGGTGTTCATTTTGCCCGCTGGGATGTGGAGCTGGTTAGGATGGGTGGTCGGGGCAGGGACTGGAGGACGGTGGTCACCGTGGCCACTTTTGCCTACACCAGGGGGCGGTGGCAGGACCGTCCTGTCTGTGACCATGGGGGAGTTTCTGTTAAAGTCCTCGTCATCGGACTCCGTCATTTCTCCGGAGCCGAAGGCCGACACCTCCATGGGGTCACCGCAGTCCTCCTGGTCTGGAGGGCATGGCGGACGGGGGTCGGAAAGAATGAGGGACTCTTTGGTGGTCTGAAGGGGGGTTAGGGAGGTGGGAGGGGCGGGGATTGCGGGGTAACGGGTGGCCATGGAAATAGGGTCTTGGGTGTCCACTGTTATTATGGGCAACACAAGTTCACCTCCTAGGAGGAGAGAGGAGAAAGGGACGAGAGGAAGAAGAATTAGCGAGGGCTTGAGAAGGTCTACAAGTACACACATACATACACACACTATTTCAACTACTGTTCTGTTCAATTTATTTTACTACACATTAGAATTTACCATAAAACAGTTTCTAAACCTATGGCATGTCTAGAAGACTACAATAACATCTACAACAGAACCAACTCTTGAATAGCTCTTGGCTCTTCTTTGGTTAAACAAGATAGCAAACCATGGAGTTTGGGTCACTTACATCAACAAATAGGCCGCATGATTTTTGCATGGAAAAAAAGCAAATTACAAAAACAAAAGTGTGTAAGATGGTCCCTTTAAAAACACAACTTTTTCCTCCTCTGACACACTCATCTGTGCTCTAGTCTTTCAGCTGACTTTTAAAAACACAAATACAATCCTATGCATATGTGCATTCACTGATAACTGAGTTAAATGCTGTGTCTCAAAACCTAGTTAGCCTAGCTGCCCTAATGCTGACAATCTTAGTAAATGTCATTACAAACAAAATGGAAGCTTGTAGGTTGTTTTGACTGATTTGAGACGTTCTTTAAAGGCCGAAATTTCATAAAAAAACAAAAAGATGGTGACAACTGACACTAGCATGAGGTTAAGCTAAGAAGTTGAGTATAAAGCGCAGATATTCTACATTTCAGGGTGCATTCACACTTTCAGTTGGATTCTTTTGGTTTGTTTGGTTCGTATGTACTAACAAAAATAGAGAATTATTCATCTAGTCCTAATTTAGTCCTTTATATTTACTGTCACTTTTTAATACTTTCCCTAAGGGTTCAAAACTAAAAAAAAAACAAAAAAAAAAACAAAAAAAAAAAAAAAACATTTATGATGGATTTATAATGTTAAGCAGTCCAAAGACTTATGAAATGTTTATTGTTGCATCTCACAACATTATGCCCGGTTTTTGTTGGTTTAGATGTCTTTTTAGGCTTTTCGATCTGGAGTGTGTTTCCCAAACATAACAACATAATTTGTGGCTAAAATATGATAGCAAGATGCATCATTTGGGAAAAACGATGTAGGAAGGAGTGTTTCCCAAAACTTTGGCTGCTTTTTTACAGATCCATTGTTTGAGCCACGTTAGTTATAACGCAGAATGTCGGCAATGACACTCTAAACTGGGTGGAGTAACAACTTCTTTAGAAAAAAAAAAAAAACACATAATTTCTTTGTTCAAATTATATTGTTTTACACGCACAGGTGTAAAAAAAAATCCATTATTAGTTTTTAATAAAAACAGGCACTCGTTTTCCATATTAATTTTCCATATTAATTGAAATATATGTCACATTTAGGGCCTACGTTTCCTTTACAAATTTTATTGAGAATATTCCATATTCTATTATAAGCATAAACCCACTTAGTAACGCATATTTTAATCTCATATATAAATCATATAAATCATTAGGCTAATGGTTGTAATTCACAATAAGCAAAGTGTTAAGAAAAGAAAAAAATCCTACTTAATCATAGTAATAATAATAATTATTTTTATCATTAATTTATAATAATAATAATAATAATAATAATAATAATAATAATAATAATTATTATTATTATTAATACATAGAATATTGTTTATTTACTTTTTGACACATTTACACCACTGCAGAAATGTTCTAACCAAAAGGCCCATGTCATATAGGTCTACAGTACAGACACATTTCTTAATAAATAACCTACAATAAATTAAAAGCATTAACGTATGCTATATATTTTTTGTTTTCACAAGCTTTGGAGACGTAATATAAATTCTACTTTTAAATAATGGGTCATCTATAGCTTTCATCATTAGCCTTGGATGTGTTCAAAATGGCATATATCTTTTCAAAGGGCACTGCGAAGGGAATGCAATTGTCAAAATGAAGATCGCTTTAACTGAACTGTAAAAATACTTTCAAAGCAAGATGACTTCATGTTGGAACGTTCTAAATAAATAGGGCAAATAGGGGGATGACTGGGAATAGAACCCAACCAGGAACTATGCTTGTTACTACAGCTTTAGAGGTTGCAAGCGTACGAGTTTGCGAATGTTTGTTGGAACGACGGACTTGGGAAATGGTAAATCAAAAAACTATGTTTGTAACAACGCAACTTGTGACCTTAGTTGGTTAACAATGGTTTTCAGAAATGCACCCTTGGATGTTTGGTGCACCAAGGTTCAGATGCCAATCGATTGTTTTAACTGAACCAAACTTGCCAAGTGTGAACATACCCTTAATTATATACACTATTGTACAAACACTTTGGGGTTAGTATGTTTTTTAATCATTATTGTTTTATTAAGCAAGTGCGAACAACCCACAAAGCAATTTTATGTTTAATCTAATTCTTAGAAGTCTTTTAGATTTTCACTGACACCTCAAATTTAACTTTGTTAAATTTGAGGTGTCAGTGAAAATCTAAAAGATGTCTAAGAATTGCCCAAAAATAGACTAGACATCAAATAGACATGAATGAATGACAGAAAGTCTGTCTGATCTGTTTATTTGATTTGGCCAATCTGTCTATGTTTAGATCACTTAAACACTAAAATACTTGCTGTGTAAATAGGTTAAAAGTGACTGTCAACATGAAATGTTTCACAAAAAGCTATTTTAAATAAATGGTATTCTTATGAACTATTTTAATCAAATTTAAATGAAAGAATCCTGAATTATATCAAGGATTAAAAAAAAGGTAACACCACAACTGTTTTTAAAGCATTAAATCATCTGATTAGAATGCTATCTGAAGGATAATGGTACACTGAAGACTGGAGTAATACTATTCAAAATTCAGCTTTGGCATCACATAAACAAATTAGTTTCATTATAAAACAGAAACACATTTAAATTATAAGTCTAAAAAACATAGCAAATCTTACTGACCCCAAACCTCTGAATGTTAATGTAAAACTACAACATCAGCAGTACTGATAAAAACAACAACAAAACTTTCATTTTAAATTAATTTTACTCCTAAAATATGGGTGCAATTAATTATTGTTGTTTTAATAATGCATAAACGACTGCTAAATAAGCTAGCTAGGCAGCTGACTAGAATTTGAGACAGAGCCAAACAAATAGGGCTGTTGTACCAATTAGTAAATAAGAAATGTCTGGGTTCAATTGTTTAATTTCACACTTTGTGCATCTAAAATAATCTGAAATGGAACCAAAGGCTTGAACAAATGTCAAACGGCAACAGCTGATTTTCCAGATGGGCCATCAGAAAGAACTGAACCACTCAACAACACTGAATGACTGCAACATAATGCACAATCACAATAGCAATAGCTGAGCACAGGGTAATAATTTCATGTTCTATGCCACACAGTTTGACGTCACACCTATTTTACAGCTGATTTATGAAAGCTCATAGCAGAAAACCAAGTGATGGAGTGGAATGACCACTTGGCGTTATGAATAGCCCAGATGGGAACAAAAGATCAAACAACATAAAACCTTTCTGTTAGATTAGCTCATTATTATTGAGTTCATGAATGACTTGTTAAGACCTAAAAGTTTTTTTTTCCCTTTATTCACTGAGTCTACAGCAGTGGTTTTCAACCTTTTTGATTCAAAGGCTCGAAAAAAAGTATGTTCTGTTATAACTGTGACAAAGTAGCTTGTTTTAATCCTTTTGTTATAAACAGTTGAATAATATGTTTCAGAGTTTCTGATTAAATGGTACTGATTGAATAATAAAATATCTGGCAGCACTTAATAAAAAGGTCTTAGTTGTTCACCTTAGTTAAGGCATTATGCAGTATGAAGTAATAATGTCATTTCCTAGCAATTATGCCTTTTTGCTATAAAAATAAAGTAATAAAAATGTCCATCTTAGCTTAGTGCAGCAACTAATGTTAACAGTTACAACAAGTTTTGGAATTAACATTACAATTAAAAAATTGTTGGTAGAATATTTTTTTGTTGTTGTTAGATTATTTCTATTATTGTATTTATTGTCACAAAGTTATTTTTTATGTATTATTTTTAATTGTATATGGCATTATGTAAGATTATTCATTATTACTATAGTTTAGTATTTCTAATTTAGCTCACATTTTGTTATGTTAAACAATATATTTGACTAGACATTTTTTTGAAATTTATTTTTAGTTTTTAAATATTGTTGTAGCATATTTCATCCATAATAGTTTATTATTGTTGCCATGTTTGTGATGCACTTTGGTCAACATTCATGTTGTTTTAAGGTGCTATAAATACAGTTGACCTCAAACTTGAATAAGAAATTGTAATAAATCTTAAAAAATAACAAATACAATTAAAGAATTAGTTGATGGTAAATAACTTTAATAAATTAAGTTAATACTATTTATATTTACATCAAAAAAGTAAAATTAAAGTTATATTAATAAATTACACCTTTTTGTAAAGCATAATTATATTATATTATATTATATTATATTATATTATATTATATTATATTATATTATATTATATTATATTATATTATATTATATTATATTATATTCAAGCAATAGTATTTTGTAATACATAGATTTGAAAATAAGGGAAAGAAGATGTAGAATTTTTCATTATTTATGTTATTATGATTATATAAGAAATACATTTTGGTTTAAATCTTAAGTATATTCAGCATTTTCATTTAGATACGGGTTTAATTATTTTAATATTGTCAACTGTTAATCTTGAATTTTTTAAATATTTGACTTTGTTGAGGACCCCTAGTTGGCCCTGGCCCCTGGTTAAGAACCACTGGTCTACAGGACTAATATTTTATATAGTCCTAGCAGGAATTATGGTAAAAAAGGCAGCATATCTGTAACTGATAAGGTCATGTACAATGTATATTTTACATCAAAACATATGTTATTTGCTGGATAGTTAAAAAAATAAGCATCAATTTCATTTTATCTCTAATTCTTAACATGTTTTTAAAAACAATAAAATAGAACATTTTAAATGTAAGCTCTAATTTGAATTAAAAAGTAGACATTAATATTTGCACCCTTGGTAAAAATGAACAAAGTAGGCTGTGAACAAAATGTCTTTCTTGTTTAACCATGTCATTTTCTTAAAGCCATTTCCCGATTTGTAAAGCCCAACAGTTTTTTTTTTTTTTTTTTTTTTTTTGTTGTTGCTGGAAATCATAACTTGACCTTTGTGTTTCTTGTAAAACAAGTGGAGCAATTTAGTATTCCTGGACTGGTCACCCAGTTGGAAAATACTTCAAAAAAATTTAGCTCATATTAATTCAGAGTTATCAATGAGAGAGCTTTGCTTTTTGTTAATATTTTGAGCCAAAGATCAGAAGGTTAAACATCAAAGATATTTTCTTCACAGCCTTCACTGCTCATTTTTTACCAAGGGTGCCCATATTAGTATCAACAAAACTGCACTACATCCAGAATCAGAAAATGTCAACAAGTCATTAAAAACCCAGTTTTTATAACAAGACAGAGATCTTAAGTGCTGTGTGTGCGCAGCGAGAGGCTGACAGCTGTGTGCATGTGTTTGTGTGTGTGTGTATTCTCACCAGTGCCCGGCTCACACTCCTCCAGATCCTCATCATCACTGGGACACTCAGCTGAGGCCACCAGCAGGTCATCCGAGTTCTGCAGGAGGAAAAAAAAAACATACAACACACACTTCATACGTGACACTTTATAATGGGAGATATTGGAAAATAGTAGTGTTAGCCTGTTAGCATGGAAAGCATATCTCCTTCCAGCAAATCGGCATCCTCTTGAACACATTAATACACACTATACAACATCATTACAATACATCACGAAACATTCACCAGAGAGAAAACTTTATAGTAAAAGTTAGTAATTAATGCTTCAAGAAAAGGTAGGTTGTTGATGTTTGCTAGCCATTTTCTGTCTGAACCGCATTTGTACAAGCAGCATTAATCAAGCAGCATTAATCTAATCTAACATATTTTGACTAACAAGTAGGACAGCCTTTCATAATGCTCTGACCGAATGTTTTGATTGGACAAATTTTTCCTGATCTTACGCCTGCCACAAAATACTATCCCAGCAAGCACACAGCATAAGACGTTAATATTAGCTTAGATTTAGGTCTTGCAAGCATCTAAGGACAATGTTATTTTGATGTCCAAAAACGGCGTCAAATGATGTTGATATTTGGTTGATATTAGGTTGTGTTGAAAAGTGTCCAAAATCGAACGTCAAGCCAATATATTAAACCAACATCATATTTACATCAAATATTGACAATCATTCATCAGGTATGGCAACCAAAATCCAACATCTGATAAACGCCATAGTGGTAACATCCACACAACGTCAAGTAACATCATTAGCGGTTGATATTTGGTTGTGTTGGAAAGTGACCAAAATCCAACATCAGCATTGTAGACTGACATCGGTCTGATGATCATCAGATATCAACTCGATTTTCATTTCCACCCAAAATTCAACGTTCCTTAACTTTGGGATACAACATCAATCTGATATCATGTTGATGCCCTGTGCCTGCTGGGATAATACACATAAATACATCTGAGCCACTTAATTGAATGATTGCTCTCAGAATGTGAAGAGCTTTTCAACAAGCATAATAAAACAGTCTTTTCCAGATAAAGGAAAAGTTCCTTTCATTATTCACAATCACCATTTCCTCACGCTCTAGTGTTTTTAAATCTGTTCTGTTGGACAGAAAACATGATATTTTAAAGAATGTTTGAAGCCACTAAAATACTAGAAACTCAAACAAGCTTGAAACAACTGGAGGGTAAGTAAATCATGAGAGAATTTTAATTTTTGGGTGATCTATCACTTTAATCTCTTTTTTCTGCAACCTTGAAATGCAATCTGAAGTTGTGCTGGTTATCTTATCTGGCTGCTTTCCTTTTAAGCCTGTGCTTTTCTTTGTCCCAAGAATTTATATATATAAAAAAGCTAATAGACTTTTCAGCTTTGTTCATGCTGAAACTTTTTAAAAACTTTGTATTATTGTTTTGTTTGACTTTTCAAATGTAATTTTACCCCTGAATACCCAGATTTTTATAATAAATATGTCTTATGGACATATGAATGATTAAAAATGATGCGTTTACAACAAAGACCGGACTAATAAAAGAATTTCAGGGTTTATCATATGATTTATAGAAATTATAAAATTACAATTAATGTTAATTTCACTGTAATAATCCGTTTTACACTTAAAAGGTTTTCGTTATTTCATTAAATGTCTACATATTTTATTGCATGCTATTTCTAGCAAATAAAAAAATACATGACAAATTGAAAATATATAATATTAAAAAAATATATATAAATAACACAATATATATATAATTACAGAAGGAAACATAAAATGACAAAAACATTAAGCTTGAAGGCCTAACAGTTCATTTTGCCTCCTAAAAATACCAGAAAATACATTTTACTGTTGTTGTTATTGTCATTATTATTGTTATATTATTATTATTATTATTACACTTTTTAGCATACTTGCTTACAATAAAATATGTGAAAACATTTAGTGTGTTTTTAATTTGAAGCAATCAGTTTTCCCCAAATACAGTCGTTTATGTTTTACAGGGATTAAACATTGTCAGTGAAGAACAAAAATAAAATCCTGAATTATGAAACTATCCTCAGCAAGCCAAACACGAGTGAATGAAGTTGTATACTTCATTCACCTGTACTTGCTTTCTGTTTCTGTGAATTGAATGCCTGATTTAAATTATTTTTAAAAAGCCATTTCCAGTCTTTTTATGTAAAATAATTATGTATTTATTGCGCATATTTGACACACATAAAATGCTAGCTAAGAGAAGAGCCTTAGCAAGCCTAAAAAAACCATTTGATCTCAGAAATGTTTCAAATGTCATTTCCACCACATCCACGGTGAACAAGATGACATTTTAAAACCCTTTTATGAAAAGACACTTCTCAGAATTGTTTAATTTCAGCCTACAAGAAGCCCACAGCTTTGAAGAAACAGTCACTGGTTTGCTGAGGCATTTGTTCAACTCTTACCATGCAATGGTGTTAAACCAAAAATGGCTTTGCTGCCCCTTGGTTTGACCTGAGTTTGAATTAACATTCCCTACTCATACCTCGCATTCATAAAACATGTAATTGGATGTGGGCCATGACTGATTTGGACGCTTCAGTTTGTCCTTTCCCATCGAGAGGTCAGAACAATTTCGCATGAGCATATTTATCTGTTTGCGGGGCTGGGAAGCATCGACTGCGAGTGCTGGTATATGGAGGTATTTATTGAGGCTGACACTGGTATTTGCATTCATGCGCTCTGTTTTAATATCAACAAAACAATACACACGGCTAGGGAATACTTTACAAATGAAAACATTCAGAGCAAGCATCATGAGAGTTAATGCAATAAGCTCATGTCTGTGGACTCCATGATGCAGCAGAGATAATACATTTTTTTACTCTGTAATAGATTCCAGCCTAATATATGCAGATGCACACCACATATACATTTAAATACTGATTATTTTGACCATGATTTATGTCTATATGGTAATTAGATTTGCCTGCAGACAGTCTTAAAGGGATAATTCACGCAAAAATGAAAGTCATCTGCAATTTACTCACCTATAGGCCATCTAAGATAACATTTTTTGCTGTAACTGTAAAGTTAATTAATGAATTCTTCTGTGATCATAAATTAATTGATGTTTATGAAGTAGTTAGACAAACAAGATGTAAGCACCTGTTTTTGAAACAATCTTTTCTGATTTTGCTCAGATTTACTGACATATATATTTCCAAACTAAGCAAGAGCATAATGTTTGCAAGTCTCAAAGTAACAATGTGGTGTTTTCTTTCCGAATGAATATACAGTATTTTGAATGAATGTTTTCACTGAGTTTACTGATTTATTCATTAAGGCAGATATTAAGGACTGCCATTTGAAAGTGGAAGCAAGTAGTCGGATTTTTATTAAATAAAACAAATATTTTTATTTCAATGAATTAATTTACATGAATTAATTGTTCACATTAAGACTAACAATGTGTGCTAGCAAAACTGTTGTGAATTTTGATTTCATATGGATTTTAGGGGTTCTGTTTTAGCTATCTAAGCTCAAAGTCTGAAGAGCATGGCGCAAAAGCATTAAGGGCATTTCTGAATCCACTTTTGCTAATTTACGGAAGGAAAAATACAGTTTGCGCCATGGTGCATAGTCTAACAGGGTTGTGCCTATTCCCTTAATGAGTGTTTTAAGCAAAACTTGCATTAAACCAAACAGTCTCATCTCCCATTTCCATTACGAGCCTGTTGTGTCGCACCATGGCACATTTGCTATTTACCAGGCGGACTTTGTGAGTATAAAAACTGAACACTTCACTAACGAGAAAACAGTTAAACAGACCGTCTGCAGCACGAGGATAAAAAACAAGCCTCCTACATTCGGCATCTTTACTTTCTCGTTCTCTTTACTTTTACCCTTTACTTTATTCTTTTAATTTTGTGGATAAGGAAATGGTTTTGTGCGAACATTACTAAAGACATCCATTAGCCTACAAACTTTAATTTAATTTGTTAAGCACAAAGATTTGATTCAAAACTATTTTTAAATTCAGTTCTAATTTGTAGCAAACGAATAAATGTACAGTAACACAAAGTGTGGTCAAAAAACGGATTTATATCCAAACACACGTCCTATTCTTATGCCCCATATGATAATGAATCTGTCTTCGAAACCTCACTGATGGACGAATTTAAACTTGTTTTTATTAAAACAAATATAAATATGCATTAAATAAATACTTCTACTACTACTAATAACATTATATAAATGCAAATTGTCATGAATAAACTCAAAAAAAAAAACCCCGAGATGAGGCATAGAGACAGTGGTTTTTATATTTATGTAGAAAGTAATAATTTTTGTAATATTTTTTGTAATATTTTATTTTTGACTTTAGACCAGTGCAAGTTGCTTTTAGTTAGTCAATAGTGTTGTCCATTTTAGATTCTCAACAATGTGCCTTAACACACCTTTTTTTTAGATCGGCACACCAATTAGTCCACAAAATGGAGCAAATGGATTTGCTATTTGAACAACGTGGTGCAAAACATAAAAATTAGGGATGTGCTGGTCTGAAAATAGCAAAAAATCATGCCAAACATGTTTTGTGCCTTATTGTGCCGGGTGTATGACAGGGCCCTAGGTCAGAAACTTGTTCACCTACAGGTGGTTTCACTATCATATTTATTCATTCATGATAGGTTTTATAAGCTTGTTCTAACATTTGAACTAAAGAATGTTTTAAATAAAGAAATTTTAAGTAGTTTCTAAAAAAACCTTAGAAAATTGCAATGTAGTGTGCAATAATAATAATGACTTTTGCAGACGTGCAATACTTTCAATTTTGAAAATTATTATTTTTGGCCATTTCTCAAACAATATGGGTAATATATTTTGGTGCATTTGAACAAAAAAGATTTATCAAAGAGATCTATTTATTAAAATAATATTTTAGCCTTCACACATTTTTAGAAATAGAAAGATAATACAATTAAATTTATGTAAAAGTTTAAAGAAAACAAAAATTACAATCTACAAAATTTCACCAAATTGAAAAGTTTGTTTCTTTTAAATT